CCTCCCAAGTAGCTGGGACCACAGGCACCCGCCACAATGCCTGGCTATTTTTTGGTTGCAGCCATTATTGTTGTTTGGCGGTGTGGGCTGGATTCGAACCTGCCACCTTAGGTGTATGTGGCTGGCGCCTTAGCTGCTTGAGCCACAGGCGCCCAGCCTTTATTCATTTTTTGAGACAGAGTTTACTCTGACGTCCTCACTAGAGTGCTATGGCATTAAAGCTCACAGCAACCTCACATTCTTGGGCTCAAGCAATCCTTTTGCCTCAGTTTTTCTATTTTTATTTGTTTTTTGTTTTTTATTTTTTAAGACAGAGTCTCACTCTGTCCCCAGTGGTAGAGTGCTGTGGTGTCATAGCTCACAATAACTTCAAATTTGTGGGCTTAATTGATCCCCTTGCCTCGGCCTCCCGAGTAGCTGGGAATACAGGCCCCTGTCCTTATGCCCATCTATTTTTAGGGACAGGGGTCTTGCTCTTGCACAGGCTGGTCTCGAACTCCTGAATTCAATCAATCTGCCTGCCTCGCCCTTCCAGAGTGTTAGGATTATAGCCAGGAGCCACCGCAGCTGGGTATGTAATTTCTTTTTAACAGTTTATTACAAATTCTTCAAAACATCTGTATCTTATTTAAAAGTCTTTAGAACAATAGCTTCAGCGCTTGGCGCCTGTAACTCAAGAGGCTAAGGCGACAGCCACATCCACCAGAGAAGGCTGATTCGAATCTGACCCAGGCTTGCCAAACTATGAGAACTACAGCCAAAAAATAGCTGGGCGTTGCAACTGGTGGGCGCCAGTAGTCCCAGCTACTTGGGCGGCTGAGGCAAGAGAATCGCTTAAGCCCAAGTGTTTAAGGTTACTGTGAGCTCTGACGCTAGAGCACTCTACTGAAGGCAACAAAGTGAGACTTTGTCTCAAAAAATAAAATCAAATAAAACAACAGCTTCAAAATTACAAAGTAGAAAACAAAAACAAACATCGCCACTACCGTCATGAGATTCCTTCACTGAAAGAAAGGAAGAGACACGAGATTATAGGTAGCCTCTGGACAATCAACTGTACTGGACGCTCTGAGACTCTTTGAAAATTCTGCCAAGGCTCAGCTCCTGTGGCTCAAGTGGCTAAGGCGCTAGCCACATACACCTAAGGTGGCGGGTTCGAATCCAGCCCGGGCCACCAAACAACAATGATGGCTGCAACCAAGAAAAAATAGCCAGGCGTTGTGGTGGGCGCCTGTGGTCCCAGCTACTTGGGAGGCTGAGGCAGGAGACTCGCTTGAGCCCAGGAGTTGGAGGTTGCCGTGAGCTGTGATGTCACAGCACTCTGCCCAGGGGGACAGCTTGAGACTCTGTCTCAAAAAAAAAGAAAATTCTGCCTAATTTACAACTATTATTTCACACCCAGTTAAACTATGGTTTGTCCTGACTGACAAGATGTTAGGAAGTGAAAGAAATGTTCAGAATGATATGCTGAGTAAAAGCATTAGCGGCAGAATGTGTTTAAATGACAAAGAAAGGGCAGCTTGGATCCTCAGGATAAATTCATGCGCAATACTAAACAGCCTCCTGCAGAAACTCCTCCCTTCTCTTGGACCTGTTGAGAACAGCGGACTGGAAGCTTCAACACCGGGAGTAAGTCTAAGGGGACAGGGTGGGGCCGGGTGCCCAGAGGGCCTGCGCCCTCCACCTGAGCCCTCAAACCAGTAGACCCGGCTGGGCCCGGCACCGCCCTCCGGAACTCACTAGCGGGCTGGGCGCAGAGTGTGCGCGCCGGCGAGCGCAGGCCGGGTCCTGCCTGGGAAGTCCTGCCGGAGGGCGGCCGCTGTGCCCGGGAGCTCGGGACTAGACCACCTGGGCCAGTCTGGGTCCAGCCCCGGGCCGTCAGACCCGACAGCCCAGCATGTCACCGCCCCCGGGACCAGCCTCCCGGCCTAGCAGACCCACTGCCCACCACTTTCCTGGCGGGGAGGGGGCGCGGCGTCGTCACGTGATGCCCTGCACCGCCCAGCCCTGGTCACATGGGCAGTCGGGCCGCTGCGTCAGTCACAGTCCTGGCTGCGGGAGTCGAGTCGCCGTCGCCGCCAGCGGACGGGGCGGGGATCTTGGTGCCAGGTCCTCGTCAACCCGCCCCCGCAGCCTCAGACAGCCGTCCCGGGCTGGGCCCGACCGTCATGGAGCGGGGCGGGACCTCCGCCTGTTCCGTGTGAGGCGCGTCGCTGCCACCGCCGCCTTGGCCTCTCCAGGCCTCCGAAACCCCCGCCGCGGCCCGGAGCCCCTTGCCCTTGGCCGCCTCTCGCCGCCCCCGGTCAGGCTCGAATGCGCGTCCTGTGAAGGTGCAGGCCCGGCGCCGCCACTGCCGCAGCCAGGAGATGGTTCGGGCCTAGCGGAGCCGGGACTGGAGGTGAGAAGGGCCCACAGACCGACTGAGGGACGGGCCGCGGCGACTGCCCGGGGCCAGGCCTGCCGGAAGGGTGGGGGAGACCCTCCGGGCTAGGACTGCTCAATTCGGCTTCTTCCCTCCTCTCATCTGCGCGTCCGCCTCCCATCCTCCCTCAAATACAAGAAAAGCTAACCCAATCCTAACAAAAATGCCCAGCAATTAGTCTTTTAAAACCATTTTCCTATTCCTCTTTCGTTCCTTAATCCATTCCTTTCCTCAGACGTTCCATCGGCTGATTTGTTAGTTGTTAATACCCTCCTCTATTTTAAGTTATTTCTAGTTAAAGAGAAAATAGGCCCAGATTCTGGCTAACATTACCCAACTAGTTCTCGCTTTCCTTCTCGCGATCCTGCGCACCTCCCCCACCTCCTCTGCAAAAAAAAAAAAAAAAGGGAAAAATATCTGCCTTCGATTAGCAAAGGGGGGGTGACCAAAAAGGAGAACACGGGGGTGTAATAATCAGATGGCCCCCACAACTTCTGGACAGGCCTGTTACCTCGTCATCCCAGTGGCTTGTATTTGAGTATTGATGTCTAGGCCTTTCCTCCTGCTGCCTGTGTTCGAGGTTAATCTGGTAATTGACGTCAGTGCTTTGTTCCTTCCACTTTGCTGTTCCTTCCACTCTTTGAGGATAGATCTGGGGAATAGGAGTTAGAGGAGTTTATCTATTGCCTTTTCCTTCACAAATGACATTTATAGGCAGCTGGAAGTACAGATCAGAAATGCTTGTGTGTGGAGGACAAGACGAAGAGTTCGATCTAGGGTTGTCGTAGTTGGCCAGTTGCAATTCAGAATTGTGCTGTTTTTTTCCTTGCTGACCATATGGAGGTTATAAACTCAGGCTAGTCCCTTTTCCAGTGACCAGTGTGTTTTTCCTGACGGATTCTCAGCGATAGGCGCCTGTGAATAGGCTGTTTGTAATTGTGACATAGAAAATGTATGCTGTCTTTGGCCCTAGATATGAAAAGCTCAAAGCTTTGTTTCTATATTGATTCTTCAACACTTTATAAAATGCTTTTTTTATTTAGCTGTTCTTTAACTTGCCAAAATTCAAATATGTATGAGATCTTTCTTGATTTGAGATTTAATAAAGAGCCTTTGTAGCTTGCGAGTCTGCCTGGAATCATCTTTGGTCATATGTGCATAAAGAAGTATTGGCAAGTGGCCACTTGGTTTTCAACAAAGCTGGCTTCTTTAAATTTCTCAGGTTCATTTTCCTTATTCATTACTGCATCTTTCAGCCTCTAAACCCCAGGAAGTTATTTTTAATTAATATTTCAGAGTTAACTTACTAAAGCAGTTTTTTCTTTTTATACCAGCAGTTTTCATTTAGTTTGTAGTGGTTTACAGGCTGATGACTTTGATTTTTATTAGCTCTGTAGGAACAGTAGTCAAATTTTACCTCAAATACAATTTTGCTTCAAGTGGGGACGAGATAGGGTATCTGAATGACCAACGCTTTACTGTTTGAAAAGCAAAAACCAAAAAACGTAGCTGTGTTGATTGGAGAGTGGCCTACAATTCTGGGGTGTAATTAAGAATTCTTAAAGATATTTTCATTCTGATTCACTTTCTGCTTGTCAGAGATTCGCACATTCAGGTTTATATATTCTTCTTTGGAATATATTGGAACATATATACATGGGGATACTCTGGAATTATTGTACCCCCTTTGCAACAGTTAATATATTTTCTTTTCTTATAGGTCTGTTAAAATGCCTTTAAAGCAAGTTCCATAGTATTCCTTTTTAAATCATTCCCATGTTTTATTCAGTTATTAGATTGAATTTGAAAATATTTTGAACTTGAAATTATTGTTCTGTCAAATTATCCAATCTAAATTTCACAAAACCATAATCTAAAGAAAACTGTGGACAAGAGATCAGTATTTGGAAGATTAAAGCAGTGCATATCAGATTCAGAAGATGAGACAGAAATTGAAGTCTTCTAAAAGTCACACCTTTTTTGAGGAGGTAAAGTATATGTCATGATTTTATGTGTACCTCATAGGAACAAAGAAAACAGGTATTTCTTCTTTTGTGGCCATCTACTGGTTTAGATTGGAGTCCAAAATCTAGAAGGCTTTCTTTTTTCTTTGTAGTATTTTTCATAAAATCAGAGAGATGTTCTTAAATATTGAGGGCATATCTGGACAATGGCCCAGAAATGCAGTGTATATTATAAGAATTGATAAGTTAGATTTTATTTTTTACTTTGGCTTTATTCTACTGATACCTTACAGTAAAAGCTTTCCTATATAATATAAAGATCCCCTGGCTTTTCTTCTGTCCTCATTTTATTTTACCCATTCTTTTTTTCATTTCCTCTGTAAGTTGGAACAATTGTATTTGATTTCTGGGAGGGTGTTTGCTAATCTGAGTTATTGTGAAATAAGGTGTAGCTAGTGATTAAAGACTGCTTAAAGCTAACCTAACCTGTTACCTTGCTGCTTTTTCCTTTGGTTTAAGAAAAGCACCCCTACTTGGTATAACTCCCTATCCCCACTCATCTTGATTATTTGAAGTGATATGCTAGTAGATGGAAGAGGACAGTAATATACATTCTACTTATTAAGTTTTGGCTAATCATCTGCATTCCTATTTGTCTTGATGTTCATTTCCCCTGGCATTGTATCCTGAGAATTTTAATGGTATTGCTCTCAGAAAGTATTAGGACAGCTGATTCAGTTCCAAAGTATCTAAAATATTTTAATATTTGGACTACTTATTCTACTTTTTGAAGGAAAAGAATCTTATTTAATATCTACCTATATCATCAGCTATACTTTATTTTATTTTTTATTTTTTTGCAGTGTTTTGGCCGGGGCCGGACTTGAACCCGCCACCCTGGGTATATGGGGCCGGCGCCCTACTCCTTGCGCCACAGGTGTTGCCCCATCAGCTATACTTTACTAAAAAATCCACAACCTGAGGAATGTTCTGAAGGAAGGCATTTCATGTAACTTTATCTCTCTTAGAGTGCCTAATGAACCATGGTGGTGGCTTTTAGTCACGGAGGTACAGCTTATTAGTGGGTACTGTTTTAAACTAATTATTTTGATAATCATTTCCTAGGTCAGGTAAAAGAACCTCATGTATTCTTTTCCCAAGGTTGGGGGGGGGGGAATTAGGGACTGACATTGGTAGTTTGCCCTGGAAAACCAACACGCTTTGATTATCCAGAAAATGTAATCATCAGTACTGGGATTGGGCTTCCTGAGGTTGCCTTGGGTCTGATACTCTTCCAGGATTATGTCAGTTTGGAGTTGTCAAGACTTTTCCTTTTCATGTTATCACTGGGGAAGGGACAGCTTTATGGAGAGGTGAGGACAGGCCAGTACTCTACAGAGACACGCCTTCTTACCTTTTTGCAGTTGCTTCCATTTCTTCCATGTGGAATATCATTTTTCCTTGTTTCCTACCTGTTAAAATTTCATCATTTTTGGCCAAGTGTGGTGGCTCACACTTGTAATCCTAGCATCTGAGAGGCTGAGGTGGGAGGATTACTTGAGTTTAGAAGTTTAAGACCAGCCTGAGCAAGAGCAAGACCTCTGTCTTCTCTTTCTTCTAAAAATAGGAAAATTAGTCAGGCATTGTGCAGGTCCCTGAGTCCCAGCTACTTAGGGAGGCTGAGGCAGAAGGATCACTTGAACTCAGTAGTTTGAGGTTTTTTGTGAGCTGGGCTGATGCCATAGCACTCTAGCTTGGGCAATAGAGTAAGACTGTCTAAAAAAAAGAAAAAAAAACCCTAAAATTTCACCCAGTTTTTGGAGACCCCATTTAAAAACAAAAGTAAAAAAACTTTGACCTTTTTTATTTGAGACAGAGTCTTACTATGTCGCCCTCGGTAGAGTGTCGTGGCATCATAGCAACCTCCAACTCTTAGGCTTAAGCAGTTTTCTTGCCTCAGCCTCCCAAGTAGCTGGAACTGAGGTGCCGGCCACAATGTCTAGCTGTTTGTCTGTTTTTTGCAGTTTTTGGCGGGGGCTGGGTTTGAACCCACCACCTCTGGCATATGGGGCTGGCGCCCTACTCCTTTGAGCCACAGGCGCCACCCGCCCTCCCCAGCTGTTTTTGTTGCAGTTGTCATTATTGTTTAGCTGGCCTGTGCAGGGTTGGAACCAGCCACCCTTGGTGTATGTGGCTGGCGCTGTAACCACTGTGCTACGGGCACCAAGACCCAAAATTTCACTATGCTTTAAGGCCCAGTGCAGGTATCATTGCCTTCCTGAAGTTTTGCTTGATTATTGCCCTGCTCAAATTGCAATCTATTTCCTTTGAATTGCTGCATCACTTTGTATCTCTTTTTGTTATTTCTTATGCATCCTCTATGAGACTAGCCAGCCCGGTGATAGGGAGACTACTGTATCAGGGAAGATACATTAGTAAAAGAAATTTGTAATACTTCATTTTGAAGTATTGTACTACATCATTATGTATCTCTAAAAAATGAGGATTAAAATAATAATCAAAAATTGCTGGGCACAGTGGTTTAGACCTATAATCCTAGCTACTCAAGAGGCTGAGGTGGTAGGATCACTTAAGCCTAGGGGTTTGTGGCTGTAGGGAGCTATGATCATGCCAATATACTCAGGGCATCACAGTGACACCCTGCCTCTAAAAAAATGCACAAAAAAGGTAACATTAATTTCTTGGTATCCTCAGTATCTACTCAGTGTTCACATTTCCTTGTAGTGTTTGTTTTATTTTGTACAGTTTGTTTGAATCAGATCCAGATTAAGTCCATATGTTACATTGAGTTTATATGTGTCTCAACCTTTTTTTTTTTTTTGAGACAGAGTCTTACTGTGTCACTCTTGGTAGAGTGAGGTGGCATCACAGCTCATAGCAACCTCAAACTCCTGGGCTGAAGTGATTCTCTTGCCTCAGCCTCCCAAGTAGCTGGGACTATAGGAGCCTGCCACA